TCAAGTATACCTGGCACCAGGTTCTGCAAGTCCTCTTTATTCCCATTTAACACATCAGCTATTCCTCAGAGTAAGGGGCACACCCCTATTCCTTTATAACTGTGTATTTCCCAAGCACCCGATGTTGGCTTTTGGCTCATAAACTCCTTACAGCTGACATACAGCAACACGCTCTCCTCTCCTACTGTCCCTCCAGGAGCTGCCCCATAGCTGGTATGGTCTGAGCCCAGTTACCCTAGGGAGCAAGGGAGGGCAGGCAGCAGAAGAACTGGAGAACCCAGGGGTCTGCCCCAGAAAGCAGGGCCCCAACAGGGGCTGATGAGGGAACTCCCTGACTCCCAGAGGCCCACACAGGTGCTGGGCAGGGGCAGGGAGGGAGGACAGTCACATCCTTGCACTGAGATCTGGCCTAGGAGTCCAAAGACCTGGGTTCAATTCCTGGCTCCAAAGCTGTGTGACTTTGGCCAGTTAGTTACCCAATCTGAGCCTCAGTTTCCTAGTTAGTGACTGAGAATAAAGACACCTAACTGGAAGGCAGTCTGTGGCTGTCTTTATCCTGATTTGCCACATGAGATGAAGAACTGGCCCACTGTAGGTATTCAGCAAAAAACAGTGGAAATTGAATTGGGAGTCCAGGGTGCCATGGGTCCTTCCCAATCCAGTTAGAGAGTTAAATGAAGACAGCAAGGCTCAGATGCTTAGAGACTTGTCCAAGGTCACACAGGCTGTGCAAATGTCCTTCCTGGACCCCTTGTTCCTACCTGGGACCCTCGGGTTCCATTGTGGCCTGAGCTGAAACCCTCCCAGGGAGCCTTGAGCCTGAGAGGGTTTTCTCATCTCAGAATGGTAGTCCTGAGGACCCAGGAAAGATGTGTCTCCTATCTTGACTGACAGATACATGGAGAATGGAACCATTTCCACAAAAATGCCAATACAGTGAAGACTGAGGTGCCCATTGACGGACGGCCCAGGAGAACTCGCCGTTCCTGGAGGTATGTAAGCCAGAGCTAAGCAACACCAGATGGAAAGGTGGCCTAGGGGGCCTTTAAGGAAAGCAATTCCCGCCACAGCTGCCAGGTAAACCCCACCCTGCTCAGTTCCAATCTCTCCTCCTCATTCAGATCAAGCTCAGACTTCACAACTTGGCCTTCAAGGCCCCTGGTCTAATCATCCCATATTCTCATCTGCCTCCCATCTGGTCTGGAAGCTCCACAAGAGTAGGTCTTGGACATTCTTATTCATCAGCTACCAGGACTGAGCAAGTAGCATGAGCCAGGCCCACACCAGGTAATTTACACATATTGTTGCATTTGATCTTCACAGCAAGTCAGGACATTAGGTGTCCTTATTAGTCTCAATTTGTAGATCAGCAAACTGAGGTCAGAGGATCAAACAATGTGCCAAAAGCCACAGAGCAACATGACTCTGTGAAGAGCTGAAGGAAGGGGCGCTGAGCACGTGGGGTCCCCAGTGACAGCCTACAGTCCCAAGAGACATCTGCAGCAGGTGGGCACACTTGGTTGCCCATCTGTTTTCAACTCCTGGGGAGCCCCATCCGGGCACTGAGGTAGAACCCCATGAACTACCTGACCACAACTGCAGCCTCTGGGGGCACATGGGAGAGAGGCTGTGGTCCCCAGAACACTCTGCCACAGCCCCACCCCACCAGCAACCCCCCAGCCCCGCTGCCCCAGCCCCGCCTGCTCCAGGTCAGCAAAGGGTGAGGCGATGCTCAGCTGCCTGGGCCTGGACGTGGGGAGAGCAGGCTGAGAGGGAGAGCCTGGGAACTGCCTGAATCCAACACATATGCTCTGCCCAAGCTGCAGGGCGGCTGCAAAGCACTTCCTGTACATCTGGCCCCTTGGGCAAGGATCTGGGAGAGGAAGCCCACAGGGTAGAGCAGAGGTAACCCCTATCACAATAAAGACAACAAGGAGTTACCTAACACCCACTGGGTGCAGGCTCCAGGCTGTGCCCATTATACTTATTTTTGGCACCAGCCCCAAGAATTAGCTACTCTCACTTTACAAACAGGGAAACTGACCAGATGAGCATTAGAGCACAGAGAGGGGGCTGGGATGACCAGCTAGGACCTCCATGAGCAAAGATCTGCAGCCCCTCGTAGCTTGGATAGAAGGGGTTGATTTGGACACCCTTCCCAGGTCCTGCAATCTTTTCTACCCATGCCTTTATTGTAGCTCGGTCCCTCCCAAGGGATGCTTTCCCTGCTCTCCTCCTCTAATGCTAGAGTAGGCGCTGGGCCACCCACTAATAACAGCTTGTAGTCTCTGGGCTGCTCCCATCTACCCAGGCTGGCCTCAAATGGGAGGAAGCAAAGGCATCAGCCACCTAGGATTCAGGGAATCCGGTTTTACCCTGATTCACCACAAGGCTTTGTGTGGTCACTTTCCCATCTGTAAACTGGGGCACATGGTGTCACTCTCAGGGCTGGTGACCATCAGGGAAGAGAAACATTGTGGAAGAGGAATTCTCTGCTGCCCTTGGAACCCAGGACCCAAGGGACAGCCATGGCCCTCCTCCCCCAGCTTCCCCATCGTCAGATCCACACCCAGCAGGGCAGGGTACCTGTGATCTGCGATCCAAAAGAGCGGGAAAGACATCTAGAAGAGGGAGTGGCTTTGGGGAAGATGTGCCTCAGTCTTTGATATGAAAGACAATAATACTGCCATGCAACTTTCGCACATTTTAAAACAACCTGAGCAAGATGGAGCCTGGGAAAGGGCACCTGGACCCACCAGGACTTGTCTTGGTGGACAGATTGGGCTTAAATCCTTGGCCCTTATAGGCTGTCTGACTTTGGCTGTGCCATTTAATTTCTGAGACTCAGTTTCCCCAAATATAAATGGGGACTTTATTAGTCCCAGACAACTGGTTTTTATTTATACTCTCTGTTCCCATTCCTAGCCTCAGTTTCTTCATCCGAGAAGTGGGGACTTTGATGTGACCGTTTCACAGGGCTGATGAAGGAAGGGTCTGAGAGATGGTGAAGGAGGATGGGTCTGGACACTAAGAGCACAATCCAGAGAGGGGGAGTGACTCTCCTGGAGTTGCTAGAGGGGATAGCCGAGGTGTGGGGAACCCCCTCTGTAGCCGCCCCAGGGCCAGTGAAGGGTCATTTCCTTCCGCGTGCAGTCCCGCAGTCACCTCTCCCATTTGCCCCCCTCCAAGTGCGGCGGAGCCGGCAGCGGGGGACATCGGGGCCAGGACGGATTTCCTCTGCGGACTTGCGGCTCCTAGAACCTCCCGGCCCTGGGGACCCCGCGGGGCCACGAACTGCACGTGCCCAGGGCCCTCCGCTAACACAGCGCTTCCGTAGCGACCCCTCCTTCGCTCGGCCCTTCCACCCCGCCCCGCCCCTTCTCAGCCGGGGTTCCAGCGTCAGGAAGATGCTCACCCGCTCGCGGGTTCCAGATAAACCGAGTCACGCGGGACCGCGCCTGCCGGGCGCTAGGACCCCGCAGCTTGGCCGAGGGGGGGCGTGGTGGGGCGGGACGGCGGGAGAGGTATTTAAATTGGAGGCCGAGCCGCCCCCTCGCGGGTCGGCTCCCGTGGGGCGGTGGAGCAGTGGTGCGCCTCCTCGGGCCGCGACCCCGGGCTCTGGCGCGGGGTGGGACCGGGGTAGGGGCAGATCTGTGCAAAATGTGCCGGGGCTCCCCGGGAGAGGAGCGGCGGCCACGCTGAGCAGGTAGGAGTCGCCCAGCGGGCGAGGCCGGACAGCGCCCTCGGGGAACCGGCGGTCCCGCGCTCCTCGCGAACACGGGGAGCGGAGCGGGGCTGCGGCTAGTCCATCGGGACGCCAGTTCCCCACACCCCCAGCTGTCCTCTCCTACCGCCGCCCCCCAGTTTGAGCGTGGAGCCAGGGTTGACCTCCACCCCAGAGGTCTCCAAGGCCACTGTCAGCGGATCTTCACCCCCCAAGGGCCAGGCCGGCTTTCCAATTTGACAGAAGGGAAAACAACGCCAGAAAGATCGGCACCTGCCCGGGAACACACAGCTAGTCAAGGGCAGATGAGGATTTGAATCCAAGTCTCATGTCACCCTCTGACCCAGGCCAGTCGTGGGGCTTCCCATCCCACTGCACCAGGTAGCCTACCCATCTCTGGGGTGGAGGGAGCACCCACCTTTCTCCGATGGGCTCAGAAGCCAGTCTTCTTCATGAGTGGTAGGATGAGGGACCCCCACCCCCACCCGGAGCTGCCTGAAATTCCTCCATCACAGCCACATTCCTTTGGGTTAAGGTCTAATTCCCCCGTGGGACGCACATGTCTCCAGAATGGGGCTTGCCCTTAGTGATTCACTGTTTGCTGTGAACGTCCACAGCAGCTCTCCCAGGACCCCATTCTGCCAGCACTGGGAGCTGAGAGGAGGGAGAGGAGCACCCCACAGCCCAGCCTGTGAGCCTGTCTGCTTTGGGGGTGGTGGGGGTACAGGTGGGGCCATTGGAGGGGGTTAGGGAGGGAGCTCTTGGCCTGGTGTACTGGAAACAGTTGCTTTAGAAGCAGACAAATTGGATTCTGATCCTGACCCTGCTATTTACTGCTGTGTGACTTTGGGTAAGTCACCTCTCTGAGCCTCCTTTTTGTCATGGGCACACACTTTTACAGGGAGCAAGCAGCTCAGTGCCTGCTGGGGAAAATGCAGCATTTGGGTCATGTAGATCTGGGCTAAACCCCAAAACACTTATGAACTGGGTAACTGTGGGTAACTTCACCCTACTGAGCCTTAGTTTTCTCTTGTGTAAAATGGAAATTATGGCAACTACTTTATTGGGTCGTTGTGAGAATTAAATGCGATGATAGAGGTCAAGTGCTTTGAAGACTGTCTAACATCCTTAAATAGTAGGGATGGGCTTATTATGATTGTAGGCATTACCCACCACCCCCATTTCCCTCTCCCTCCCTCTCTCTCTCTCTCTCTCTCTCTCTCTCTCTCTCTCTCTCACACACACACACACACACACACACACACACACACACACACACACACACCGTGGATATTCTTTGGAGCAGCCCCTCCCTGTCTGAGCCCTAAAATGTCTCCTGCTTCCTCTTGCCTAGGCCACTGCTCTGCGGGCCTGGTGCCTCCCTCCTCAGTGTGCCTTTCCTGGGCTGCTCAGCTCTGTGGGTCACTGTCCTGGCTGGGAAAGACAGTGTGTGTCCAGGGCTCCTTCAAGGACATTCACAGCGTGATCATCACAGTGGCTGGAGCAGCCAGTGGCAGAACAGGAACCAGGCTCTGTGCACTACAGATGGGACACTGAGGCCTGAAAAGCTTAGGGACTTGCCCATGGAACAGAGCTGATGAGCAGTAGCTTCTGGATATGAGTCTGGGTCTAAGTGACCACAGTCCTCCCTCCTGAGAATGAGTAGCCCACAAATGCTGCACAGGGTGTCTTGGGCACTGCTGAAGGGTGCACACAGCTGGGGGGCCCCTTGCTGTCAGGTGCCAGGGCAGAATTCCACATGCTACAGGGACAATCCCAGCAGTGGTGCACCTTGAGAGGAGGGTGGAATTGGCAGGCAGAGGAGAGGGAAATGAGGGCCCCTTGGGGCAGCAAAACCTAATCCAGGTCCTCCCTTGCCCTCACCTCGCACCCACCACACAACCCACTGCAGTAGAGCCTCCACCCCTCGCTTTGCCATTTGTTCAGTAAATCTTTAGTGAGCATCACTTAATAAAACCCTATTCTCATAGAATAAGAAACAAATTATTAGGAAGTAATCGGTGCGAGGAAAGCACATGTAAGGATCCGGGAAAGAGCATTCCAGGCAGAGGGGACAGCAAAGGCAAAGGCCTGGAGGCAGGGCCCCACTTGGCTGTGTTTGAGGAATGGTGAGAAAGCTAGAATTTGGTAAGGGAAGGGCAAAGGATAGAGTCAGAGAAGAGATTGTGTAAAGCCTGGATTTTATTGGAGGTTTTCAAGCAATGAGATTTGTGATCTGATGCATGATTTAAAGACATACCCCTCACCCCCTGCTCTGTGAGGACAGACAGAAAGAGGTCAGGGTGTTGCTGGGATCAAGGCCAAGGTCATGGCAGCTCCTCAGCCTGAGGCAGTGATGGAGGAGGGACAGAGGCAGTTCCAGGAGAGCAGACAGATCTCTGCTGATGGACTGTGTAGCAGGGGAAGGAGTGAGGCAGGGAGGTAAAGGGGAAGTCAAAGAAAACAACTGCTCCTGCCAGTGTTACCCTGTGACTAAGGTGCCTTGTATCAATTCTCACCACTTACCTGGCCTGTCTGGTGGTATGAGGTGGGCGCCAGAGAGTGAGCCCCCTCTGCCCTGGGGGCACTTCCTACAGGAGAGGGGTGGGCCAACCAGCCACGGAGGGAGGGCAGGGTGCTGTGCTCACTGGAAGCTAAGGGTCTGTGGGAACCTGGATGAGGTGCCACACATAACCCAGATGTGGGGAACCAGAGAAGGCTTCAAGGAGGAAGTGACATCTAAGCAGAGACCCAAAGGGTAAGGAGATATTAAACATAAGAGAGGGGAGGAAGTGAAGATTTGGGGCAGTGAAAAGGTGCTCAGAGAACTGAAGGAAATATGAGGCTTCCAGAACCAGAGTAAGGGGATGGTAAGACATGAAGCTGGCATGCCCCCCAAGGGCCTTGAAGACCTCACAGAGGGGTCTCCACTCAATTCTGAGTATGCCAGCTTTCAAATGGGTGGTTATGTTCTGCTTTTCAAACAGCAGAACAGAATTTCCTGTGAAAGCCCAACCTGTAACACAGGTGAGAGGCAAGCAGCTGTGGGGGCATGGCCTACCTGAGGGGACCCAGGGTTTAAACGACACCATGAGGCCTTTGCATGCTTGAGCAAGAAGGCCTTTTCATTTAAAATTCATCACAAGGACCCTAGTGGGTTCCAAAAGTCAAAGACCCAGCCCTCAGAGGTCCCATACATGCCTCTTCTCCTAACCCGTACTTCGGAGTCACAATTCAGCTCTCATTTAATGAGCACCTGTGGAAGACCTGACCATGTAGAGGTTAAGGGCACAGACCCAGGGCCAGATTGCCTGGGCCTGCCACTTGTTACCTGTGTGACCTTGGACATGTTACTTAACCTCTCTGAGCCTCAGTTTCCACATCTGCAAAATGGGAATGGTGATCATGAACTAAGTCCTTAAATTACTGTGAGGATTAAGTGAGTTAATACATGTAAAATGTTAAAAAAAGTGCCTAGGTCATAATAGCTCTCTCAGTGGCACTTTCATACAATATATCTCATTTGATCTTTAACAAAACTTGGTGAGGTTGGCATTAACCTCAGAAGAGGAAACTGAGGCTCTGAGAGGTAAAACGACTTGTACAGGGTCACACATCAGGTAAGTGGAGGAGACAGAGAACAGTCAGATATGGGTGACTGAGTCCAGTGCTATTGGATGGCTTAAGTGTCCTTTCTTGTTAGAACTCTGTGTGTTTTGTGGTCAATTCTGTGCGTTTACTTGCATCCCCAGTTCCCAGCACAGAGCCAAGCATTTAGTAAGGTGTGAATGAATGAATGAGTGGATTTGATGGATTGGTCTGGGTATTCCTAGCACTTGGCCCAGGTCTTCAGTGCGTGAGTGCCTAGCAGCACTGGAATTCAACCCTGCTGAAGGTCTCTGTGGTTCCCTCAACTCCACCCTGGCTGCTTTCAAAGGAGGGCTGGTGCAGCAGGCCTGAGTGTCCCCCTGCACTGGCTATGGCTTCAGTGAAAGTAAAGGGCCTGGCAGCCCGCTCCTGGGGAAGTCCACAACAGTGCTGGGGGCAGGGCAGGCCTCCTGGTGGGGCTTCCTGTCAAGGCTCCAGGCCCAGCCTTCAAACAATGGCAGGGACTTGAGAATCAGAAAATCAAAAGAAAAAGGGCAAAATAAAAGTCAAGGGGAGGGGGGATTGAGGAATTCCGTTTGGGGCCCAAGGAGCTAGGATTGGGGACCTGCTTGTGGCCTGGGTAGAAATGTAGTCATAGGCACAGGTCCCTACCTCACCCATCCCAGCCCTGAGTTTGGTCCAGAGCAGCCTTTAGGATCCCTCTGCATCCTGCTCACCCCCTCCAGACTGTCTTCTATCAGGTGGGGTCTTTTGAAACCCAAATCTGACCATGTCACTCACTGCTTCAGAACTCTGGCTGCTTGGGGTAATGGCCTAACTCCCTGGCCTGGCACTAGAGACCGTTTGTGATGGGCTACAGCTCCATTTCCCATCCCCCTCCCCGCCCCATTCACAGCACCTTTACTGCAGCCCCAGCTGTGACCTGGGGTTCACTGAGGACAGGCACAGAGAGGATGAGAGTGGTGGGAGCTGGCTGTGGAAAGGAGCCGGTGGTCTCACAGCATTCCCCTTTCCTCCCCACCCTACACAGAGCCATGAGCCACCAGATCCTGCTACTCTTGGCCGTGCTGACCCTGGGCCAGGCCACCTCCCAACACCAAGACAAGGTGCCCTGTAAAACGGTAAGAAGCCCCGCCCAGGCAAGATAAGCCTGCCCCCTACCCTGAGTCGACTGCCTAAGGTATCCCACTGCCCCAGATCCAGGAGCCAGAAGCCAGAAACCAGAGAGGAGTCAGAAGAGGAAAGGAAATGCATTTAAAAACTTGTATCTAATGAGCACCCACTAGGTTGTTTAAACACTTTATGTACTATTAATTCTGCCGGGTAAGTACCATTATTCCCATTTTACAGAGTTGAAAGCTAGGGCTTGAAGAGGTTATGGGACTCATCCAAGGTCTTTCAAATGGTACCAGTGGGGCTAATATTGGACTATATTCCCCAAGCTATCCCCCACCAATCCACTCAGAGCAGTAGGCCCAGCTAGGTGATGCAGAATATGAGAATTTGGAGTGGGCTAGATGGTAAGGGCCTTTCTGTACCAGGTCCCTCCTAGGGCGAATCGTCTTCTCTAACTGGGCTCCTTGACCTGGACCCATTTGCCACTTCTCAACACTGCCCCTCACTCAATACTGCCCAGGTCAAATGCTGATTTCTCCAGGAAGCCTCACCCAACCCCAGGCTGACCTGCTTCTCTTTGCTCCCTCTTCGGGGCTCTTGCACTGAGCACCTGGGGTAGTTGGTGAATGGATCTAAGCCTGTTTCACCTACCAGACCAAGAACATCTTGAGGTCAGGGACCAGGTTGGATTCACTTTGTTCCTTTTTCTTGCCCTGAGTCAGAGAGACTAGACCTGTAGTTACTGTGACCTTGCAGGATACAGAGAGAAGGGACCACCTGGGTAAAGCTGGGCAGTCTCTGAGGCCGAGGCCAGAGCTCAGGCTTGAGAAGGGACAGGCCCTCCAGCAGGCCCACTTGGACCAGGACTGGAAGCTCATGGCACAAGTTGGGCAGTTGTTTCCGGAGTCTGAAAGTACTGGCAGTCAGGTGCTATCAGCCCTCACCTGGGGTCTGCAGAGGCCTGCTGTTGCCACCTCACTTCTTGCTCCTCAGAGCCCTTCTGAGAGTCCCAGAACCCAAGAAAAAAGGAGAAGGCCTCAGACATCCCCAGATGGAGCCCACATCCTACTGGGGAGATAGGCTGAGAGGTGAAGGGCCTGGATCCCCCAGCAGGCAGAGGGAAGTTGGGTAAGCTTTGGATTCTGGGCAAATGAGATAACAGACAAGAAATCACTTTCTGAACTACCACAGAAGGTGACTACAGGAGTCACGACGATTTTCAAAACAGTAAAAATATATTGTCACATGCTGAAGGTTCACAAAGTGCCTGCACCATGCTAAGGGCTTTCTCTCATTTTATCCTACCCAGAGATCCCCTTTTCAGAAGAGGAAACTAAGGCTGAGAGAAGAGATGTGACTCACCAGGGTCATGCAGATAGAAAGTAGTAGGACTCGAACCCAGCTCTCCCAAGCTTAAGTTGTCCACTACCGGGTGCCTCCTCCCTGATTTCCTTCTATGTGCAAGTGGCAAAATGGAGTCAGGTGCTAAGTCTTCTTCCCTCCTAAAAAAAATAAAGAAGAAAAAAAGCTAGGCAGTGGCCTCCCGGAGAACATAGGTAGCAGGTGGTCAGGGGAAGCTCCGAACTTAGCTCTAAGTCAGTCATGCCAGGGGCTCAGAGCTCACGGAGCGGTGGGCAGCACCCTAGAAATGGAGGTCAGAGAGTTGCCCAGGCCTTCAAGCTCCTTCCTGGACTGAGCCCAGAGAGCCTAGCCTACCAGAAGCCCCCTCAGGGCCCCTCACCCAGGGAATGCTCAGTAAATGGTGGCCAGTATTATTTACTGGGCTGGAGGAATCCACGTGGGTGCTCAGCCAGCGGAGGGCCCAGTAGTCAGAACTCGGTTGGCACTAATAGGAAAATGAACCCACAATGGCATTTTTGAACCTCTGGCTATCTGATTTTGGGGCCGCCTAACCCATGAGCTTGGTTTCCTTAGCGGGTACAGTGAGGTAAACGATGCCTGGGGGATTATATGAGGCAAGGGATCCATGCACTGAGCCTCGGAGCCTGCGGCAGAGTTTGTGCTCCGTGATGCGGTGGACATGGTGCTCATTTTGCTGCTCCTTCTCTAAGTCAGAAAGGTCCTGGGAGCTGAGGACAGGGAAGAGGAGGCTTGCCTAAAGGCCCCAGCGGGCAGAGAGGTTGTGAGGGAGGAAGGGGCAAGAAGCCAGGCAGGACTTGAAGGTGGCAGGGGTGGGTTCCCTGTTTCCTATGGGTGTCCAGCTGCAGGGGTATCCCTGGGTCTCTGAGGCCTGGATGAGACCTGAGGGTGTTGGGCCAGTCACTGTGCTGACAGAATAGGGAGAGTCACACAGGTGCCTGATGGATGGCAGTTCTGTTCCTCCTCCCTTCTCACCTTGGCGCTCCGGGGAGGAAGCCAGGAGCTAGGCCAGGCTGGTGTTCCTGCGCTGCTGGCTCAGTTCCGACTCACTGGGGCCTCACACAGGTCACTGCCATCTTCAGGCTCAGTCTCCCCATCTGGGAAGTGGGCGGGCTGGAATCTTTCTACTCGAATTGTCTTTGACTCTCCAAAGAGAGAGTGATCAATTCTCTCTTAGAAAATGTCTCAAACACTTAATAAGCCAGTGATGTCTGTGATTCATTAAAAAAATTTATTGAGCACCAAGGCATCTGCATCAATCACACTAAGTCCCTGTTTGCTTTGAGCTCATTGTCTAGCAGGTCCCCACACAGACAGTCATAATTCAGAGGCCAAAGCTGAGAGAGAGGACACACAGGGGCAGTGAGAGTCCAGAGGAGGCCCTGAGCTGTCTGGCAGTCAGGGAAGGCTCCCTGATGGAGGAGACACTAGAGCTCAGCACACAGAGTTCACCATGCAGATCTAGCATGGGAGGGCATGATGGGCAGTGGCTAGGCTGGAGTGAGTTGGGAGGAGAGGGAACAGGTTGGCAGGGCCATAGGTAGCCTTGAACCCTGCTGAGGGTACTGGACTTTGCCCTGCAAGGGTTTAAACAGAGAGCAGCACAGTCTAGGTGAAGTTTTTGCCCAGGTTCTAGGCATTTGACTGCTGGAAGGGTCAGAAGGGGTCAATAGAGGCAGAGGCAGGGGCAGGAGTGGGCCTACACTGGGTGGTGTGGAAGTCAGACCCTTTGCTGGGAAGGGCTGGAGTTCCTGGGCTCCTAGAAGAGAGGAGAAGGAGACTGCATTTGCATGAAAAGAATTCTGGCCCCAGAAGGCACATGTGGTGGAAAGACAAAAGTGGGGTCTTTGGTGTTAAAAGACCTGGGTTCAAATCCCAGCTCGACTCCTCACCACCTGGGTGATCCTAGAGCCTCTACTCTCTCTGAGCTTGGGTTCCTATAAATAGGATTTGATGGGGTGCTATTGTGAGGATCAGTGAAACCATGGGCCTAAACATGCTAAATAAAATGCAGAATGCCAAGTGGGTGTTGGGGAAGGATGAGTTACTTTGTGGATAAGACCAGAGTGGTAATGTGATTTGATGGGGCTCACACAGCAAAATCACAGTCTTGTCACCAAAGAAAGTAGCTTGGGACCTTGGCCACTTTTTCCCCCTGCCCTCAACCTCCTCTCCCATCTCCTGGGGCTGATCTGGACATGGGATGTGAGGCCACTGACAGGTGGGGGCGGGTAGCAGCAGAAAGGAGGTCACATCTGGGGAGCATCATGATGGGGTGCTATTGTGAGGATCAGTGAAACCATGGGCCTAAACATGCTAAATAAAATGCAGAATGCCAAGTGGGTGTTGGGGAAGGATGAGTTACTTTGTGGATAAGACCAGAGTGGTAATGTGATTTGATGGGGCTCACACAGCAAAATCACAGTCTTGTCACCAAAGAAAGTAGCTTGGGACCTTGGCCACTTTTTCCCCCTGCCCTCAACCTCCTCTCCCATCTCCTGGGGCTGATCTGGACATGGGATGTGAGGCCACTGACAGGTGGGGGCGGGTAGCAGCAGAAAGGAGGTCACATCTGGGGAGCATCAGCGAGGAGGGCAGGCTCGGGACTCAGAGCTCTGCCTCATGGAATGAGGGCTTGAATGAGGTCTGGCGGTAGAGGCCGAAGCAAAAACTGGTGACAGGAGTGCAAATTGCATTTTCCCTTTTGGAAACATTTCTCCTGAAGTGGCTTCTAGTCTAACACCAGCCAAGTAAATTTAACTATCTGAGCCGAACAAGGAACCCAGGATGTGAAACCAGGAGACCTGTATCCCAGCTTTGCCCTGCTGCTCCCTGGTTCTGGATCATTCTAGGTGATCTATGGTTCAGTTTCCTCTAAAATGGGATAATAACCAGCACAGATTTTTTTGTTAGTTTATTTGTCCTTCTATCTGTCTGTCATCTCTGCCCCCTCTACCCATCAAGGCTTCCTTGAGTCCCCCACTGGATGCCTGGCATTGTAGTGGGTACCAGGGATGAGGGCAGGGAACAGTCTGAGGGTCATCCAGGGATGGGTGATTAGGCTGGAGTGGAGTGATGTCAAACACCCGGGAGCCAAAGGAGAGGCCTAGCAAAGCTGGGTAGGGTAGGGGTCAAGTCATACTTCCTAGAAGTGCATGTCTTATTCTACCCACTGCTACACCTACTAATGCCTTCCCCCTCCCCAGGTGGACAAAGAGACCTTGTGCCAGGGCCTTGGCCTATTCCAGGTCCCGTCAGACCTCCCGCTGGACATTGAGATCCTCAACCTGTCTGGAAACCAGTTGCGGAGCATCCTGACCTCACCCCTGAGCATCTACACAGCCCTTCGTCACCTGGACCTGAGCACCAATGAGATCAGCTTCCTCCAGTCGGGAGTCTTCCAGGCCCTGCCTCACCTAGAGCACCTTAACCTGGCCCGCAACCGCCTAGCAGTGGGCACCATGCTAAGCACGTCTGGTCTGGGCCCCTTGCCACACGTGATGTCCCTGGACCTGTCTGGGAACAGCCTGTACAGTGGCCTGGTGGAGCGGCTGCTGGGGGAGGCACCCGCCTTGCGCGCCCTCTCGCTGGCAGAGAACAGCCTGACGCGCCTGACCCGCCATACCTTCTGGGGCACACCAGTGCTTGAGCGGCTTGACCTGCACAGCAATGTGCTGATGGACATTGAGGACGGTGCTTTCGAGGCCCTGCCCCACCTGGCCCACCTCAATCTCTCCAGGAACTCCCTCACCTGCATCTCCGACTTCAGCCTCCAGCACCTGCGGGTACTTGACCTGAGCTGCAACAGTATTGAGGCCTTTCAAACGGCCCCCAATCCCCGGGCTGAGTACCAGCTTGCCTGGCTCGACCTGAGGGAGAACAAACTGCTCCACTTCCCTGACCTGGCCTCGCTCCCAAGGCTCATTTACCTGAATGTGTCCAACAACCTCATCCGGCTCCCTGCAGGGCCGCCCCAAGGCAGTGAGGGCATCCATGCACCTTCTGAGGGCTGGTCAGCCCTGCCCCTCTCAAACCCCAGCTGGAACACCAGCACCAACTCCCTCTCCCAGCTCTTGAATCTGGATTTGAGCTACAATGAGATTGAGCTCGTCCCTGAGGCCTTCTTTGAGCGCCTGGCCTCCCTGCGCTTCCTGAACCTCAGCCGAAACTGCTTGCGGGCCATTGAGGTTCGGCGCATGAGCTCCCTGCCCTGCCTTATGTTCCTGGATGTCAGCCACAACGCTCTGGAGACACTGGAGCTGGGCACCAGAACCCTGGGGTCTCTGCGGACGCTGCTCCTACAGGAAAATGCCCTGCAGGACCTGCCCCCATATACCTTTGCCAACCTGGCCAGCCTGCAGAGGCTCAACCTGCAAGGGAACCGGGTCAGCCCTTGCGGGGCGCCAGGTGAGCCTGGGCCCTCAGGCTGTGTGGCCTTCTCAGGCATCTCCTCCCTTCACATCCTGAACCTGGTGGACAATGAGATGGAGGTGCTCCCAGCAGGTGCCTTCCTCCACACACCACTTACTGAGCTGGACCTCTCTGCCAACCCTGGGCTGGATGTGGCCACTGGGGCCTTGGCAGGCCTGGAGGCCTCCTTGGAGGTCCTGGCCTTGCAGGGCAATAGATTGGCTGTTCTGCAAGTGGACCTGCCCTGCTTCAGCTGCCTGAAGCGGCTCAACCTTGCTGAGAACCGCCTGAGCCACCTGCCTGCCTGGACACAGGCTGTGTCACTGGAGGTTCTGGACCTGAGGAACAACAGTTTCAGCCTCCTGCCCGGCAGTGCCATGGGTGCCCTAGAGACCAGCCTCCGGCGTCTCTACCTGCAGGGCAATCCGCTCAGCTGCTGTGGAAATGGCTGGCTGGCAGCACAGTTACACCAGGGCCGTGTGGATATGGACGCCACCCAGGACCTGATCTGCCGCTTCGTCTCCCAGGAGGAAGTGTACCTGAGTCATGTGCGTCCTGAGGACTGTGATAAGGGGGGACTCAAGAATGTCAACCTCATCATCATCCTCACCTTTGTACTGGTCTCTGCCATCCTCCTCACCACCCTGGCCACATGTTGCTGTGTCCGCCGGCAGAAGTTCAACCAACAGTATAAAGCCTAGACAAGTTGGGGGCTGCAGAACAGCTCGGCCAGGAGCCCCTTCCAGGTCAGTGGGGGAGCCAAGGTCACAGAGAAGGGTGGAGACTGACCTGAGGTCACACAGTGAGCCAGGGTCAGAGAAACCTGGTCTCTACGTCCCAGCTTAGAGCTCCTTTCCCTGCATCTTGCTTCATCAGTAGGTGACCCACTTCTCAGGGTGCACATATGGTCCAGCTGTGGAAGCCAGAAGTTGGGCAGTTTCAGGAGTAACAGAGAGTGTGTTTGACCCATTGCATCAACAAATCTTTGCCAGGCATCGTTTTGGTGCCACACCCTGCTCTGGGCACTGGGGATACCAGTGAATGAGACACACCCCTGCCCTCAAGCATCTCCCAGTCTGAGGGGAGGTGGTCGCAGAGCTGTGCAGTGACCGCTCAGTGTGGAAGCCCAGGGCTCCGAAGCTCTGCATCCCCAGCTGACTGAGTGTGGAGAGCCCAGCCCTGGCCAGGCCGTGGTAAGGGAGGGGCAAGACCAAGAGGATTCGTCTGAGACATTTCCAAGCAGACTGTTTGTCACATCTTCTGATAATGACTTTCAGCTTTTCTGGAACATGAAGAGCTTGTGACCGGAAGAGAACTGGAACCACATGAGCATGTCTTGGATCCAGTGCTGTTGGGCGGGCTGCAGCAGCTCCAGGAGGCCCTGGCTGAGAGGCCGTCGCTCTGGGCTCCAGCCCAGGGCCGGCCATTCTGTTTCCTGCTCTAAACAGACTGTTTCCCTACCTGACACTCTCATGTTGCATGTACTGGCCGAAACACTGTCCTAGCCAACGCCCCCACCCCAGGTCCCTGCCCCATCACAGCTGCACTCTGGCTGGGGAGCCAGGAGTTTGCTTCTGAGGTATCTGGTTCTATTTTGCACCAGGCTTGGCAGCTGTAACAAGCCCCAAGCCTGTGTCTGCCTCTTTATGACAGCCCTCTGAGGTTGGTATTTTATCCCATTTTACAAAGAGCCTCCAACAGTCTCTCTGCAGGGTCCTCTGGCTAAGAAATGCCATAACTAAGATTCAGCATCATATCGTCCTGACTCCAGGGCCTGAGCTTTACAGGCTGCTAAATGGACAGGATGTGGCCCCACATCGTGGGAACAAGGCTCAGGAGCATCCTATGCTACACAGCCCCACCC